TGGGGGTCGGGACATCTAAAAACCATTTGCTCTCTTAAAACAATTCCATCCTCAAAATAGGAGCAGATTTACATTAAAGCCGCTGCAGCATGAAACCTGTCACTCTCCATTTTGTATGCCTTAGTCTCTACATATATCTTCCTTTGGTTGTTTAATAAATAGTTTTTTTGTATATTGTGTCAGCAAATGTTGCTTCCGCCCATTTCTAGGCTCAGTTTCCGAATTCGGCTAACTCTGTGGTTACATCAAACAATGTTCTTTCAGCATCAATGCATTTCCTGTGGGACATCCTCCCTGAACACAGATGACATCATCATGAGCGCCTGCTCTATTAATACTTTAATAGGGGCAGTTTTCTGTTTCATCACAGTGAATTAAAACCTAGTATCTATCTATCTAATAATAATACATGATTTAATAATAAATTATAATAAAAATTATCATTTATTTCAGCAAAGACTGCAGCCTCAGGAATAAAAGATATGGCTTCTGAGACTGTGTCAAAGCCATCTATAATTTATTAATTCTACAGCATTACAAAAACTATATACAGCATGTAAAAACAAACAGGTTTTCCAACTTAAATGTAGATCTGTGAATAGTGAATCTCAGTGATTCGCTTAGGACTTCAGTTTCACAACTAACATAGCGTGAACATGTATAGGGCCTTTTATTATATCGGCATTAGCAATCAACTTAACGTATGTGAAAAAAAGGATGCCTGAAGTCTTGTGAAAAATCAATATATTGCCAAGCTAAGATTCAGTCTCTTTCTTGCTTGAAAAAAATTAAATAAAATAAAAAAGGCAAGGATGTAGGCTTAAATTCTGCTGATACTACAGCCTATCATTGCTATCACATATTCCTTCATTACAAAGGGGAGCTGCACAGCAATTACTCGGCATGGAAGAAAGCAGTTCAACTTCAATACTGTGTGACACATAAAGGTCAAATCTGTTTTCTCCTGGCCACTGGGGCATCTGGAGCATTTCCTTCATAAAGGGATTCCCAAAATCCTACGACAAGTCAGGGTTCACCGATGAGCTTCGCAAGTTGAATAAGCCGTCCCATTCTGCTCATCTTTTTTTCTTGCTGTGCTTAACCATTTTCTTTCGTTTGAGGATCATATCATACAGTTTTTCCAAACCGAGCTGCAACCCCTGCCCGTCGACCGCACTGCACCCTTGCACGTGGTGTAGGGTGGAGGCACTCAGCTCGTGTACTGCCAAAACTTTCTCCACGTCAGAAACAGGCAGCGCAACTGGAAGGTCCTGTTTGTTAGCCAACACAAGCACTGGAACTCCTTGGTTCTCTGACGTACGTGTAATCTTATGCAACTCCACCTTAGCCTCCTCCATGCGCTCTGCCTCCGTGGAGTCCACCACAAATACCATGCCGTCTGTGCGCCGCGTGTAGGACTTCCACAAAGGTCGAAGCTTCTCCTGACCACCCACGTCCCACACCTGAAAGGTAATGGCACGGCCATTTCCGACCGGAACTTTAATCTTCTCAGTGTTAAATCCCTTGGTTGGGATAGTTTCAACAAATTCCTTCAGCTTCAGTCTGTAGAGAAGTGAGGTTTTGCCTGCAGAGTCCAAACCAATGACCACAACGTGGAGGGACTGGAAGTTAGGCAGAAACGGTGTGTTGGGGGCAATCTCTGTCAATTGGTTTCCCATGGCAACTTGGTTTTCTCACCCTCTTGTAAGGAGAAGCAGATTTGTCTAAGTGTTTGGCATTTGCACCTACTTCAAAGGTACTGCAGACAGACAGACGTGCTTGTAAGATCGGCGGCACCGCGTGGAACCTAATTAAAGGAGAAACAAAAGCTGATTATCATCACCGATATGGAAGTTATTTACAACTTCTCCAGATTTGCCTTCAAGCAAACACAGTAAACCAGCTGCAAGGTTTTAGCAGCTACTAAATAAAATGTTCAAGTAATGAAAAAGTATTTGGTTCTATTCTATAAAAAATATTTAAATTAAATTAGAAAAAGACTTTGGTTTTACATTCACAATAGCTCATTGTAAAACTCTTTAGTGTCAATTCAATATCAACAACAACAACAAAAAGAACACAAATAAGTTAATTGTAACGTTAAAGATCGATCTAGAGGTTGCTCTCAATGCTTGCCACTTCTAATCCTCTTAAGTCTAAACAGAAATAGATTTCTAACAAATAAAAAACATAGATATTATAATTTCATGTAAACAGCTGTGATTTATTATTACATTCACGCACATAGTTTAAATGGAAATTATGGGTAGGCTATGTCAACGTCTAAGTAAACTACTGTAAAGGTACGAAAGCTAGATAAATTATAGTTTAAATTATAAAATCCTATTCGAAACCACTTTTAAAAGGATTACAAAGATTACAGACTACACGATAAAATCAAAAACATCTTTCTCGAGCAAATTCAGCAGATAACGTTACTTGAGAACGAAAACCGCAGTGTAGAGAAAACGAAAACCTGGCTTGTAAACGATGCTATTTCATCTTTGTCAACATTCACACCACTTACCTAATCTAAGTCTATCTTGAAACAGGCTGCTTTTCCATTTCTCATTTTAAAAACATAGGCGACCAGTTCTCCAAACGACTCAAAACAATGCTCATTTTCCAGAGTCTCTATTCCCTCCGATAGCAGCGACCTCTGAGATGAAAGTGGAGCTGAGCGCACAAGATCCAGAACAACAATCCCCGCATGTGACGTCACGCGAACCCTTCATTCCTCTCGCGACTCCCTCTAGCGTTTGATTGTTCTGAATCTTCAACGCGAGTTATTGAATGACAAGTCGTGTTTGTTTTAAACAGCACCTCACTGTGGCGAGCCTAAGGCATCGAAACTACCAAGTAGTAGATCTTGTGTCTTTTGGCAGTGCATGAGTGCGAATTATAAAGGGTTCTCCCTAAATGATTGAGAAGAAAATGGTTATTCGATATAACTTAATCACAATGTGCTAAAATGTATACGCTAGCAAACAGCTGTCTTTATCAGAGAGTAGGCCTACGTCTACAAAACTCGAAAATCATGCTTTTATAGACTCAAATAGCACCTAAATATACATAAAAAGTAGTTAGTGTTTTATTTAAAATATGTAATAGCTAACTTCGCTATAACTCTATATAAAGACGTAAATTAACACTGTAAAAGGCTGTGATCTAAATGTTGTTTCAAGCGAAATGTCTAGAGTCTATATAATAGACCTTTTCAGAAAACTCTGCTACTTTTAGGAGGGTTTTTAGTGTTTTTATTTTCTAAAAGTAATAATAAGCAATTAAATTGACACAACGCGCTACAATCGAACTGTGTAGCGTCAGTACGTCGAGCGATTGCTGAACGTTGCTAGGAAACCACCAAGCTGTCCAAGGAGGACGTGCGATTGTCCGCTGTGGATTTGGACATATCTGTAGAACATCAGAACTTGGTAAATTTTGTCCACTGCTCTGAAAATGTGCTTTTCTTACCGGTTTGTTAAGACTTATTATTATTAGTGTTGTTTGTCTTAAAGTAAGACATACTTTTACATGTTTTTGCTTTGCTATATTGTAGACACATCGGTATCGGACTTGCGCAGGACTAACGTTAAATGTTAACGCCACAACTCTACAATACGAACAGTACGAATTGTTTAGTTTTTTATTACGGACAGTGCTAACTCAGCTTTGTCCTGTACTTTCAACATTTATGAGCAGCTAAGAAATCAGTTCAGTGTTTATTTCTTTATGAGTGTGTCATGACAAAGGAAACATCTCACCGTGTGGGTTTGAATTTCATTAATCAGGAAATGGTCTCACGTTGCAGGCCGGCTTGTGGTGTAGCCTAACATGTCAGCAATGCACTGGGAGGCCCGCCGCCGTCAGCAAGTGCTGAATCGCAGGTTATCTGCCTCAGTTAAGCAGGTTCCCATCTTAACAACAGTATATGTAATACACTTAATATAACCTTTTTTATAAATAAGTTAAATATTACATCTAAATAATAGGATTTTATTTATTTATTTAGGAAGACAAGCCAGGTAAAAACAAAGAGCATTCTGAGGCACATATGACACCCTGTGAACCTGCAGCGTCCAGTGAGTCTCCAGGTAAAGCTGCTCATAATAACAGGTCAACAAACATCAGTACACTCAAGAGTTCTCCAGTGTTTGCATGCCATTAAGAACAAAGTCACTGCTTTAGAGGTGACTGAATTTTAATGATCAAAAATACAAAATTAACAACATACTATATGTGGAATCTTCACTCAGTCCGTGTAAACATTTGTTTTCTTCAGAGGTTGGCAAGCAATGCGGTTGCAAGTGTCATGCCAAGATGAAAAGATACACAGTGAGTACATTTCTTTAGAGATCACAAACTTGTTTAACCTGTTTCTGTAGCTGCAACATTCAACAGATCCAGTGGTTGGACATTATCTATTTAAATTTTTACCTTTACATTAAGTATAGACAATTTGTCCAGCCCCTGTATATGCCATATGTGTATAATATCACAACGATTATTTAAAGAACTTATAAGGTGAAACTGATCCAGAATAAAGCAGCATCTACATAAGATGTGTGCTTGATTTGCTCTAGTCCCTCCAGTATTCCCAGCAATGGTGAAGATGAAGACCAGACTACTGGGACAGCACCAACTCCACATATTATAATGTACTATATGTATTTTACAGGAAACCAGACTTTATTTGTTCTTTCATAATCCTAATTAAAACAGAATTGGGTATTTAACAGTTCTGGTTACATTTTTTGCAGAATTTGCTCAAAAATTCAAAACATTTCTATTTAATGTGCAAAATCGTGGTGTGCAAATTTTAAAACGTGTTTATATAAATGTAAACACTAACAAATCAACAGGAAAGAAAAGTGGTCTAAGTTAACAGAACACATTCATTAATTATTCCAGTGATATCTGTCATCATAGTCTAATCCTATTTAAATGGACTGCACTAAATTATGGCATAAAATAGTAATCCTTTTTAAAGCAGCCATTCATGGCCATTCATTGGCAATGGTTTAGTCTCAACGCAGAGGGGAGTGATGAGGCATAGTGGAATTCACTCCACAGTCAATATACTCATAGGCATCTGTAGACATCTCCTCTGAATGGGACAGGTAGGAGACTTTGATATTCAATCTGTAGACAACACAAGGAATTTTACATTAATTACAAAATATGAATTGAACTGAATTTATAAAACCAAACATTGGCACATGACATATTAAGATAAAGTTAAAGATAAAATGTACTTATTCAAGTTATCATTGATTATGTATGGTGCAAGAAATTTAATTTCTGCAAAAATATTAAGCAGCACGACTGTTGATTGACAACAGTGTGACAACATTGATGATAATAATAAATGTTACATGCACAAAATAAGCATTTTAAAATGATTTCTGAAGGATCATGTGACTGAAGACTGGAGTTCTTTTTTCTTTTCTTTTTTTGCTGTATTTATAATCAAATAAATCCAGCCTTGGTAAGTAGGAGACGACTTTGTTCAAAAACAAAAGCTGACCCCAAACCTTTGAATGGTACTGTAAATATATTTTACTATAGGTGTGTTTTTTTATTTAGGTCATGCACTTTATAACCTATACGATTTTAACATAGACCAAAGTCCACGAAGGTCACATCACTGACAGTCAAAAAAAAAAAAAAAAAAAAAAAAAATATGGGTCACTGGTTGCATGACCAATTTTATTTTTATTTTACTTGGTTTAACCACAGCAACCATTTTTTGTGTCATGGCCTACAACACATATATACAGATGTTTATATGGTTATGTTTATCTCAGTTCAGGATGGTCCAAACTCCTTGAACTAAATCGTGATCTCTATAGCACATTACATAGCGATATGGGGCCTCATCAAATTTTCAGGTTCCCATCTAGTACCATCTAAAACAGCGGATATGGGGCCTCAGCAAATTTTCAGGTTCCCATCTAGTACCCCGCTAAAGATAATCAACCCTGAAAGTGACGGGAATTAAAATAAAACACTGAAATTTTTTCCACCCTGTGAAAAGAAGAAAAAAATAGTCTCAAACTTGAAATGTTTTGCATGCGCACTATGCATATGTACCTGCTAACAATTTACAGCTGAGACTCCTTTCCGTTATAAACCCTAAAATTGAAACTTTGAGCAATCTTGAGGGTGCAAAATGTACATGTACCTTGGTATGTGCTCTAGAGATCAGTTTTTGTTCCATGGAGCTCATGTGGGCTGAGATATTGATGTCTGTGTCATGGCCCACAACACATTTTTGTTATACAAAGATGGCCACGGTAGTTAAACATAGTAAAATAAAAAATATTTTTTGCCACCAATACATGAGTCATGAGGGAGGTAATCACTCAAAACAAACAGTTAGGAAAATGATATGTTCAAGCAACTTCCATTGGACTACTTGAGATGGATTGACCCTCATAAAATAAAGAGACTACTTGACTTAGTTATTGCCAGTGGTTGACTGCTGCTTGTCTTGAACATGATTTAACATTACATGTGGACTGAAATACAAGTCTTTTGTTGTATTTATAGTGAAAGAATAGATTTTACAATTTTAAACATTTACAAGGTATACCAGACATAATAGTCCTTCAATGCGCACCTTCTAAATCCAAGCCTTCAAAACATCAACCAAAGATGGCAACTATCATTCAATGATTCAGTCAAACAGTATGCTAATAGAAATGTATATTTGCTTAGAAATATATACTTACTGCAAATGCAAGAATAAAGTGTGGATCTGAAAGGCATGTGACTTGCAGTAATTACTGTAAAAGGAATGGACATTAAAGAATGTTTCTAGATATATTTTTTGTATTTGAAAATTGTCATACAGTCATAAACACAATGTAATTTACATTGAGATTATAGTGGGAAACAATACATAACAATTAAAGACATTATTAGTGAAGTTTAGATACTGATTGAATTACTTACTTGAGGCCTGGGTCATCAATTACAATGTTGGCTATAACTTTAATCTGAAAGATGAAAGAAAGATGAATGAAATTCCAGTGGGATCAATGGAGGCTTTAAAGAAAGTGTTTTTGTTTTTAGATTTATTCATAATTTTCTTCCCAGGTTTCTGGTGCCCGTACAATGCATCTGAGAACATTTAAATTGGAAAAATGCTTTATATTACAATTTGCTTAAATAATAAAGATTTACCGTTTTCTGTGATCGAGGAGGAAGGTTGGTGACATTGAGCAACTTGGTATTGCCAACCACAGTCTCGAAAATCAGTGCTTGCACACTAAGATTGTCAGCTGTGATTCTGACAAAGTTTTGGTTGGTAAGGTTCATTTCGTGCTGAAGAATGGATAATACGTACATAGGATAACAAGCTTTGTAAAAAAATGCATTACAACAGTTGAATCTTAGGGTGTCGTCTATATACGTCAGATCACCTACCGTGAGCACTATTCTAACTTTATCTGGAGTGAAATAGACCACAGATGACTGTAGTTCCACAGCTGACATATCCATACTCCGTGGGAAGAGGAAAAACAGGATCAGTGAGCAGGTCAGGAGGCAAAGGCCCACTGCTATACACACATAGAGTTTCCTGTGGGACATTAAACCATGTAGTACATAAATTGGAGAATATTAACATGATGAAGCACATTTTATTAATCCCTGAAAGAGAAAATTGCAGAGCTATAGGCTTCTTGTCATAGTGATACTGACGTGTGGTGAGGTTTCAGCCTTTGGTCGCTGCAAGGAATGACTGCCACAAGTTGGTTCTCCTGACCTGGAGATGTCAAGAGAGTCAAGATAATGCAGACAGAATAAGGGTGTGTTTAAGAGCCAAAACTGCCAAAGAAACTTTATTTGTAACCAAATAATAAGAAAATACACTGAAACCTGCCTCTCGGGATGCGTCCTGTGCCCTGGCAGGTAGGGCATGGATCTGACTGTCCTTCCCCATTTACACTGCCATAGTCCAACCATTTGGAAAACCTTCGTTTCTCTCCATCTTTATTCTGGGACATAATGCTGTATTTCCAGAAGATATCAGGTCAAAACTAAAGACCTCCACCCTAAACAATAAGACAGCTTCAGTAAGGTTTGTCTGTTGGTATGTAGGTACATAATTGATGAGGAAATCAATAAGCAAACTTTTTTTATATATATATATTTTTTTACTTAAGGTTAGGGTGACAGTGATTGTACTGTTCTAGTTATACATTACAGTAACAACCCAAACTGTCTCCAAAACCTCACTGTAAAACAGTAAAATATCACCAAATGATCAACAAAGCTACACAACAATAAAACTGCAAAGATGTCAAACTTCCATGATTTAATTAAAGACCTTAAACGACACAGTTTACGTGACCTTTGAAGAAAATATATTTAATTATACATACTATATTGGTGTATAATTCTTTAGATTTTCATATTCTTTAATATTTATTCTCTCTATTTACTATTCTCTCATTTACATCTTTACATTAACTAACTTTGAATTAAAGTACGTAAAGTGGCATGGAAGAGTGAAAAGCAATAGTTCACAACGCAAATTACGTTACAGACAGTGACTATTGTGATTGTTTAAGATGTTGGTGATCACACTGGCAACTTTCGAGTTTAGGAAAAAGAAACCAAATTTATGCCTACCGTTTCCAGCTGAAATGTTTTGTGGCGTAAATGCAATGAAATGTATTTAGAGTTAGCTATCTTATAATGCAACTATCACATTATGACTCTGTGACTCAAAACCTATGAGCTGCCTTGCCTAACTAGACAGCATTTTGTAACCATCGATTCCAAGCCCGAACGTCCCTATGTAGGTAACTTTGATACTTTTCTGAACACAGCAGTAATGTGTAAAGTTAACAGTATTTTAAGTACAGTACACAGACAACCTAACAATCATGTCGTACCATAGATGAGTGACATGAGTGTTTTAAGTCACAAAAGACTGGTTGAATTTATATCAGTTTCCTTCCTAATCTAACATCATGACACATCTAGTCGTGTCATAACAATAACATTAACGGTTACTAAATGCGTTTACTGTCAAATCTTCACACAGCACTTTTCCACCTACCGTGAATTCATCTGAGCATGGTGTGATATCGCGATTTAATCTTTCCCCGCAGATTAATAGAATTCGTTGCTTGAGTTATTGAAGACACCACACGCCACTTTCCTTCAAGACGCTATGAACTTGTTTCGAGTGCGCAGCTACTTCCCTCTTTAGTCCTTCACAGTTGTTTGTTGTCGCCATCTGGTGGTCATAATCGATACTGCGTGTTTAAAGACTGCGGTTGATTGATATACAATATATTTGGGAATTATTATTATTTTGGAATTAGTGACGAGAGTTTTTAGAGGTTAACCAAGAAAAAATATATAATTTTAAAATGTATTAAAGAAAAGTGAAAATTTGAAAGGGAGTAAAAAAAAAAAAAAAGTACGGATCTGAATACACTAGAGTTGATAATTGACTAATCCCAGATTAATCTCTTCTCTCTATCGGGCCATGATGGAGAAAAACATATCTAGATATATTAAACGGAAACGGAAATGGGAAATATAATTATGGGAAGACATTACAAATGAAGAATGGTATTTTGCTTGCAAGACACATGTTCCTGTTCACAGAGATGGAAAGAGATTGCATGGAAAAATAGTGCAGTTTTTTCTCATTACCCCCTAAATTAAAAGTAAACTATTATCCACAACATAACTATACTGGAATATGAGCATTTCGATTTTGACCATTCTGGAGTTGTCCAAAAATATTCCCTTTTTGGAACATGGTTTTGTTGTAGATCAAAAACATTTTCTGATACCAAGAGATCTCACAACATTATATCTTGGAAACATTACACACACTGTGCTGAGAAGAGATGTATATCTTGTTAATATATTAAAATAAAGATACAAAACGTAGAGACTGGGGAATCTGTACTCAGTTCCTGCCTTGAAGGAGGAAGCTGACTAAAGCGATAACTATTTTAACCTTTAGAACATTCCATGGTTTCAGCAATTCAGATGTGTGTACATTAACCAAACATAGTTTTGCTGATTGGTGTGATTTGAACAATAGCGAGAAGATTCATGATTATACAATGCGAATAAAACTCAAACACACTGATAACTATAATGGAATGTTTTTTTATTCACTGTGCTGGACACAAAAAGCCATGTTGATAAGCCTTCAGTTCATAGTAATACATTGCACATGAAAATGACAAAGATGACCAAAATTGGTGCCTAGCAAAAACTTTGACCAATCAATCACTGGTTGAGTTAAGCATGACTGAAAAACTCATTGCACATTCCTATATGTCAGGCAGCCCAACACCTTAGTGTGACATGAATTAGTGTGATTTAAAATAAGATATACAAATATAGAGGTCACTGTGACAAATAACTAAATCAACACAAGCTTTTCTTTTTATATCTTTCCTCTGAGAGGCAAAAGTGCTCAAACAAATGGAAACCCTCTGGGTAATTAGTCTTATCTAATCAAGCAGTACAAAAGATACCTGAAGCCTACCTAACAGCAGTCTATATGTGTTAGTAGGGCACACACACTGAATAAAGATAGCATTAAGACTTCTTTATAAACCTTATGTTGTTTCTCCATTCATAATGTCCTACAAACATGAAACTAAAATTTTACAATCAAGTAATTGCATCATTGCAGCTATGGTCAGTTATAGTGATATACCGTAGTTCTCTTTTTCGAGAGTCCAAACTATTTCTCTAAGAAAAGAACATCAGAGGCATTTCATTACTGCAACACGATGAAATCATTTACAATTCCTATACTTCACTGAGGTTGCCACGGTGCTTCCTAGTGTCTTGAGATGTGCCATTCGCTGTCGGTCAACTGTACCAGCTCGTTGACCACATCAAGCAAACTGTAGTGATGCTTCCTCAGCAACCTCTGATTGAGCGGCTGGTTACTGAAACCCATCTCCTGTAAAACAGCCATCATGGAGGCATCCTCGCAGGCGGGGTCAACCGCTGGCCGCTGAAAGAGAACCAAACCAAAGTTAGTATGTTAAAAGGTCACTCACATGCCAAGTCCTGAGTTCAGAGATAACAAAGAATGCAGAAAAGACACAATGAAGTACACAATACATGCTGCAACTTTCTAGAAATAGTGCACTAGTGTTCAAAAGTTTGGGATTAGTAAGATTTAGATTTAGTTTTTTTAAAGAAATTTAAACTTTTATACAGCAAGGATGCATTAAATGAATCAAAAGTGACAAACTTATTTGTAATAGGGATGTGCGATATATATCGGCCACTGTATCGGTATCGGCCGATATATGTTTTTTCCAATGTTATCGTTATCGACCAGATAAGAAAATTTCCCTGATATATTTAAACCGATAAATAATGGATTATCTCCTTCAGCTGAGACACTTCAGATGCACACTGTCCGCCATGATGGTTTTGAATTACTTGAAATATGATTGAAATCACTTCGAAAAGGAAAATACAGTTAAATGCAACAGTTGCAGCGCAAGTGTGTCATATAGGCTACATAAAATTATAATGAGAACACTACTGTAAAAGAATGTTGTGAATTCTTTCTACGCCCAAGTTTTAGCACGTTGTTACAGGAAGAGTGTATCCACAACGGAGTTACACCTTCATGACTATAAGTTTGATTGTCCATTCACAACCTTGTTTTGTGCAATTGTAAGTTGTAATATGTTTATTTTGTGTAATATACATCTGATTTATCCCATATAGGATGCATTTGGTTAAGAATTAACACGCTAGTAAAGTGTGACTGTGATCATCTTTAGCTTGAGCGCCTGCAGCTCAAACAACAACGCACAACATTAATAGGCTAACTATGATTGGTACTGTCATATACATAACATTTTAAATAAGCTAGTAAGTAAGTGACAAAGAGAAGACTATTGTATTCTCTTCAAGTTAAAAAGAGAAGACTATTGCAATAAAACGTTGTAGTTTGGGTTTCAGTGCGTTGTTACGGGAAGAGCGTATAGCACGCAAAGGTTTTGCAAGAGAATGCAAAAGCATTGACATCTTTTATTACATCACCACGTCCTTTTAGGGGCTCCGTATTGGTGAGGATCAGAGCATAAGACATATTACGACCCCAAACTTTTAAGTGATAGTGTAAAAGAAAGAAAAGTCACAATATGGTGGCTGTTTATGTTCTGTGCTGGAGTGTCGTGCACTGATGAGGAAAAAACGAACACCTGTGCCGGTGTGCTCTGGCCTGTAAAGAGTGCTTTATAAGCAGAGGCAGCCACAGAGAGTGCTCCCTTCACCAGCCCCTCTGTCAGACCACCGTGACGTGCCCTGCAGAAGAATAAAAACAGGAACAGAAGGTCGTGTCATAATAGTCCTGTGCCATCAAAACAAGATGACTCCAGAGATTACCATTCGTAAAACAACACTATGAGAAAAGCAGTCCAAAAAAAAAGAAAGCCAACATGATTAATTCTTTTAAATAAACAAACTATTTAGCATAGGCATGTTGTCAAATGTGGTCGACCACAGGAAAACATTGTCTGCAGAGCTACTTCCTCTTCTGCTGCATTCAAAGTTTCAGCTTTAGCAAAAGGTGGATTTAAAAAAAGACATTATGTAGATATTCAAAACCTGATCCTTCTCACTTTCCTGAAATATATGTATACTAAAATAAATCATAATGTGATGCCTGTAATGCATGTAAGCAGAAATGACCTCACTGTGTTGTTATACCTGAGTTCCTGGGAGCCGCAGGTCTCAAAGGCACTAACAGGGGCCTCTGAATGAGCTGATCTGCAACCTAGGGCAAATAAACAACATACAATTCTGTGATACTTTTTTAAGATGGCTCAAAGCTATAAACTAGTTTAACAACAAATACAGTCTAACTCTTAGACAGTGGGTTTGGTCTACAGAACCAAAGAAATGTATGCCTATAAAACAATCATATTAATTAATATTTAATAATTAAATCATTTTTACTTTGAATATATTTTAAAAATTGTATTTTGTTTTTCTTGGTTAATTCTTCACACCTCACACTTTTAACCTAAAATGTTTGACACTAATTTCAAAGTAATAATAATAGTAGTACAGTATGTTTGCATTTATTGATTGATCTTTTTATTTATTTGTGTGTGTGTGTGTGTGTGTGTGTGTGTGTGTGTGTGTGTGTGTGTGTGTGTGTGTGTGTGTGTGTGTGTGTGTGTGTGTGTGTGTGTGTTCTTGTGCAGATCAGTGTGTGTGTGTGTGTGTGTGTGTGTGTGTGTGTGTGTGTGTGTGTGTGTGTGTGTGTGTGTGTGTGTGTGTGTGTGTGTGTGTGTGTGTGTATTCTTGTGCAGATCAGTGTCAGTCGTGGGATAAAATCAACAACTGCTACTGAGTCTAGCATACGAGAAAACTCACCACTTGACCCATCCTCAGATTGGCATGATGCGTTCTCTTTAGAGGCCCCTGGTCCTGACTCAAGATCATGAGATCTCACTGATCTGCAAAAGAATCATAAAGTGATTAAAACGAATGAAAGTCCATGCATATTAGTACATTACATTCACTCTGCATTATTAATTAGTCAAAAAAGTCTCTGAATGTTCTTTAACCTGTGGGTTCGAAGAGATGGGGGTGGCGGGAGAGCTATGGACGGAGGTACCATCTCTGGAATCAGAGGGGGGGTGTCCAATATCTGAGAGGTGCACAGCATCCGATTTAGGGTGTTTTGAAGCGCTGGAACAGGGGTGGCCTCCTCATTCTCTCCTTCAGCCATGCTCGGGATTTGCGGTGCTTCCGGCTCGTTGGCAAGAGGGACAGCAGGCTGGGACATTGCTGAGCTATACATTGATTCTCCCAGTGGCCTGGAAGTATCGAAGCAGTCAGGCAAGATGACAATGTAGTCCTCAGATGAGGCAGAAGACACCTGGCTGCTCACCTCATCCCACTCTCCTGCTTCTTCCTCTTTATCTTGATAGTTTTCATGTCCCCTTTGTTCCACTTCCTCTTCATTCTCTTCCTGTGCAGCTGGGTCGGTGTAGAGGTTTTCATTTGAGCCAATCAATGCCTCTGAAAAGACTGCAGAAATAACCAAGTGTGAATTGAAAGAAGGTACAGTTCTAACAGAAAAACACGTTTCTTTTTAGCAAGCCCAAGGGTGCACTGCATTTACAGCAACTTCAGTACATTCAGTATGCAACAGCGACATAA